CCCCAAAACCCCAAAACCCCAAAACCCCAAAACCCCAAAACCCCTCCATAGCCTCCAGTGGTTGAATGAAGGTCTGTATAACAAAGATGTCTAAACCAAAATCTCAAATTTCCAAAAGAGTCTATTCTAATGACAAGCTCTAGAGACTCAGCTAGTTATCGCTGCCTTCAGGAGGTTTCTAAAAGAGCCCAGTGTATTTTCAGCACTCTCCTGAAATATCCAAGCTGCTCTTCATTTATAAATACTTTTATTAATAAATCTTTATGAAAGATTGTGAATAACTACACACAAAAAGTTCACTAAAGTAGAAAATACAGCTGCCACTAAGCCAAAAAAATCTGTGCTTTGTAGTTAAAACCAAGCAACTCAAGGAAACTTCAATTTTAGTAGAATTGTTCACTGAACAATAATCGCTTCACTCCTTACTCATCATCTGTCATTTGGTCGTAGTTCTTTTTACCTTCCTGGAGTTCAATATCATTATCTTTCTTTTCAACTTTGATTTCTCTTTTCTCGCCTTCATCTTTGCTCAATCTCTTGACTTGTATATAGACCCCTACCAGGAAGCACAGGACCATTGCCAGGAAGTACAGGTAGAAAGTCCATGGGATCTCTACATAGGCACCATGCTTGACTTGTTCAAGTATATCCAGTTCATTCGGATACCCACCAAACTCGAGGCTGATACCTCTGATGAAGAAGTAGGCGCCTAAGATCGAAGAGGAGAAGATCAGCACGTATTCGTAGTACTTGCAGGCAAGCCATCCGAAGGTGATCACAAAAATGGCAATCATTATGTAGAGAATGTACGGGACTCCGAGCTGAGAGAAGATCAAGCTATCAAGAGAGATTGCCAAGACTACTCCAGTCCAACATCCGATTATAAAGATTCCAAATTTGATTGTCTTCACCAAGAAATAACCCAGCAAGGCACCGATGCTGCCACTGCTGAAGAGGATCAAAAGGATATACTTCTGTGGAACATCTTCCATTTGAATAAAGAAGAAAAATACTAAACAGGTGATTGCAATTGTTGAAGCAATACTGAACAAGATGATAGTCAATCTAAACATTCTTCCACCAAGCATAAGGTTATACAGCCCAAAAACAATAAAGATCACTCCGATTAACCATGCGAATGTATTGAAGAATACTGCAACCGTTTCTATAGACAATAAGTCAAGGCATAAAGGGTAAACATATTATGCAACATGATCTAAACACAGAAATAGAAGCTAAATAAGCCTTAAAAATTGCTAATTTAGATCAATCTTCTTAAACTTTACCTAATTTTGAAATCTTGCAGCCATATGAGGATTTTACGATAATCTTGGGATGGCAAATATCAAAATCACTAGCTTCTTCATTTGTAGTGATCACTGGCTTGTTAAGAATGGTCATTGTTGGATCACACTTCATCTCCACATCTAGCTTGAACGTTTTCGAATTAGACTCTGATGGTTTGAACTTTCCTTCTTCAGAATAGGGGCACTTGTCATTACTTTCAAACTTTCTAAACAATCAGCCAAATTAGGATACAGGATCAAGTGTTCTTCCTCACGATTCCATGAATTAAACTTGACGTATTCCTCAGTTTTCCTATATGCCTAAATCTTAAAGGCTTACACATCTCCAAGGCTATAGCAGTCATTTGCTTTGTCTGTTGCACTTTGGTTTGATCCCTCTATTTAGATTTAAGATACTTAATTCTTAAAACCCTCAAAGATTTGGTTTAACTTACTCTGGTCCTGTAATACAGCCATGGATGGCTCCTCTCCACAGGTGCCGACTTTACCGCAGACATTCACCTTAACTGAGAACTGGTTAGATAAAAAGTAGGTATGGATCGGAGCTCCCAAGTGGTGCACATTGGAATAATTAAACACATCTTTGCTCAGATAGTTAAAGCTATAAGTCTTTCCATCATTAAGATCCTCGCTCTCGTAGATACACCTATAGATATAGCCAGTCCTTACGATTCGAAAGTCTTGCCGTTGTCTGTGAATGTTGCAGTGCTCATTGCTAGTAGCACCAATGAGATCACGGCCACTCTGAGCCATGATTTCGAACGTTTTGAAATCATCATATTTAATTTTCAGAAAATTCTACAACAAATATTCCTTATGGGGTTTTGGGGTTTTGGGGTTTTGGGGTTTTGGGGTTTT